TGGCGCAAAAAAGGTTGGGGACCACTGATCTAGGACATCCTGGTGACTGTAGTATGCCTCTGCATGGCATTACAAAAGACTTACTACTACAAAATGTTGTTAACTTTTTTGTCTTTATTAAAATCCTTTTATGTCAACTCCACATCTTACAATTGCTCCATTACATATATATCTTTGTCCTACATTCACCTTGCTCCTGCTACATCCGCCTTCTTTTAGCTGACTCTCCAACTTTCTCAAAAGACTTTGTTTTCATCTATTCATGTCCAACTAAATTGTGAACCAGAACCCATAAGCATAATACATGACTGTATAACAATCGGTATTACTTCCAACACTCTTTTGTTCCTACACTAGGGGTCAGGGTTGACTACCTGAGTCCCAAAGCTGTGCAGGGATTATTCTGCCCTTTTAAACACACCACAGCTTTCTATCTACAAATTGAGTCTGTTAGGGGCTCGAATTACTTGGTGTCATCTGGCCTCGCTGGGAGCCTCTGGTATCACCCTGATGTGAGATCAGTTTCTCCAGAGGCTTCCAGAAGTCAGGTCTGAATTGTAAAATCTTGGTGTCTGGACTGGACCATTGATGATACCAGGATCTTTCATGTTTCTCACCCAGACTCTCTGACCTGGTAGGAGTTCTTGTCTTCTCTTTGTCTTGTGACGTGTGTTGCACCCGAAGGCTTGCTTCTCTTTGATGTCCTGATCTTTCCTCCAGAATGCCTGAAGATCAGTTCAACCCGGTTTAAGTTTCTCTCGGCTGACTGGTAGCGTTGTCCTGATGTTGTGTCCGTATAAGGGGCTAATGGGTGCTGATCGCTACAGCAAGGGAGTGGCTCTGTAGGTCATGAGAACCTTGTATGCATCATCTCCCCTTTTCAGTATAGATTTAACAGTTTTAACTGCCCTGTCAGCCTCACCATTTCTCACCAGAGCCCCATCCAAGTCATGACCACAGCCCCCAGGTTGAGACCCCCAGGAAACCTGCCCCTAGGGAATCCCAAGACACTCCAAGGCTGTACCCACCCCCACATCAACTACAATAACAAAGGCTGGACAAAACCATGACGCGCAAACCCCACCTCTCATCCAAGCTTCTCGGATGTCCAGACGCTTTTCTTTCCAAGCTCCTTAGACTACGATGACCTGGATGACCGAGAACCTTCACGGACACTCTGAAAGCAATCTTATTAGAGACAAATAGAAGAAAATGGTATTGAGGTAAAAAGGAACGCGATTTGTCAAGTTCTTCAGGTAGAATGGAAAAAAGACACAAAGCTGGAGTTATTCTGTGTCTTTACACTGCTCAGCTCCCTCTTCTTCTTTCATTCTCTCCCCTTCCCTCTCCTGTTGCTACTTCAATCATGAAACTGATCAATGATCAGCTGATCGGTTTTTCTGTCGCAAGTCCCTGCTCTCTTGTTTGTTTATTGCCCACTTTGCGCCAGAAAGAGGAAACCAGCGGACGTCTTGATAAACAACAGCAGCCCGTTTAAGCTTGATAAGCTGTTGTTAGAGTTTATTTAATATTACTTTCGAGTATCACCTGATGTTTACTGGTTCCACAGCTATAAGAGCTGTTGGTCATAATATCGGTTTGGATATCTGAT